CGGACTGATCTGCGAGTGAAACCTTGAAAGCTCGCGAGATCAGGATGGTCTCACGAGGCTAGGTCAGACTTGGATTAGAAATGTGTGGAGATGCAGCTTCACTTTGAAGGATGGGTGGGGGTCGGAAGAAAGCAATGTTTCATCTGATGTGTGTGGAAGGTTGGCTTGGAAATCAGGACAAAGACCTTTAAAGTCCATTTAAAGGATCCATTTCCTTCCATAACTTCATGTTTTGTGCTTCCAGAAGTACCTTCTATACTTTTTCTTCATCTCATCTATTTAATAAAGCGCACCAGTCCTTCACAGTTACTACTATATTCTAAGATTTAATCCCTCACCCCTTTTTCCTTTAATTAGGCTTTTCATCCTAACTGAATATTAAACAGAGCAAAGGGCATGTCCTTAAACAAACATCTTTGTAGCTTTTAATTAAATGGCTTCTTCCTCTCAGAGCGGCCTTTCAGCCCATGCTGGTACAGCACAGTTCTAATGGCACTCTTCCACCAGCCTCAGCTAGCATATTCAAAAGGTCCATCCATTTTCCGTCACACTTATCCCAAGCTGGCGTCGTGAGGGGTGCTGGTGCCTACCTCCGGCTGTCTATCGGCGGGAGGCGGGATACACCCTGGACAGGTCTCCAGTCCATCGCAGGGCAACACAGAGACAAACAGGACAAACAACCATTCACACACTCACACCTAAGGAGAATTTAGAGAAGCTAATTAAACTAACAGACATGTTTTTGGACTGTGGGAGGAAGCCGGAGTACCCGGAGAGAACCAACGCATGCTCAGGGAGAACATGCAAACTCCATGCAGAAAGCTCGCAGGCTGGGAATCAAACCCAGAACCTGCTTGCTGCAAGGCAGCAGTTCTACCCACTGCTCCTCTTTTCCTTTTAGCTCTAAGGTTGGTTCACACATTTCAGTTGTTCTTAGGATGTATATCAGAAAAAAATTGGTAGTTAGAAACTGTACTCAAGGGAGAACTAGTTATGTTAAGGTTCACAACTGTCTTCCTGATATCATCATGTCACTTAAGGAAGCATTGTTTGACATTTTAAGACATTCTCATATATTAGGAAACAAGCTATCAGGTCTGATGATAAAAAGTTACCAGGTTTCAAAGGGGAAAATATGTCTGTTCTAACATGTTAGCAATAAACCCAGAGCTAATGGAAGTCATTTTGAACAGGGGGTACTTTAAACATTTCTTTGTTTTTTGTTTTTTCAAACAAAAGACCTATGAGCCTAAAGGCCTATTTAAAATACAATTAAAATAAAAAATTAAATAGATGAAGATTCAGCTGGCAGGAACCTGAGTCACTATGTTTATGTCACACGTGACTCTATTGGCCCTAAAATCCTTTAACCCAAACCATAAGGAAATAATCATATTATTATTCTATTTAAACATCATTAAAAAGTTCTCCACACCCAATACAAAAAGAACATTTGATCAAAATAACTCTAAAATACTATGGTTACGTTAAACTGCAAAAATAGATATGAGTTACAAGCAGGGGGCCCCGCCTGGTTACAGGTGTCCTAACGTTCAGGTGCTCTAAATCTACTATGTGTACAGTTGCAATTCCTGTCTTTGCTTCGTAACATGTGATTTTAGGAATGCCTACCCTATTCCTCCCAAACACTGCAGGATTTCTGGTCATTAAATTCACCCACCCAATCCAAACGTTTCTTCATTTTAATCTTTTCTTTAATCCTTTAAATCAGTTTTATGGCTATTAAGGGTGAGAACACATAAATATGAACAGCCGTTCCTTGTAGGTAAAGCTTCCCATTTTGCTAAATTAATTCCAGTTTCTCACATTGATCAATACCTAAAGTTAAATCATCATGAATTGTTCAAAAGGTTCTTTTTTTATGTTTTTTCATTTAGTAGAATGAAATCATTTCATTAGGAGATAAGTGTAAAAACAAGATGGCCTCTCGAAGTGATAAGAGTCATAAAAGCGTTGGAAGTTTGGGGACACGGTCAACACGGAATAAGTCTCCTTTCACCTGTCTAAAAGCAAAACAGGAACATTTGAAGTGCAGGTGAGAGATCAAAACATGCGAGGGCAGCTTTACATGAGCTGAATTTACCTGTGATTTATTAACACTACATGAATGAATAAATTAATGTGGTTTCAAAGTCTGTTCTCTGAACTGTCATTTTTCCCTGCTTTTCCACCCATCCAGGCGTGAGTCCCGTCCCCCTCCTGTGTTTGCTCTGCGCTGTTTGACCTTTTTTCTTAATGGTCTATTGATGGGTTCTTTATACCTTGTTCCAGCATCGATTTCACAACCCAAGTTTCCTTACCAACGCGGCAGCTATCTGATAAAACAAATCTGATCAAAAGTCTCAAATCTGTGTGTTTCTGTCTTCCTGTACCTCATTTGATAATTGGTTGATGCCATGTGGCGTTTCTGAGGGTTAGATTTTATTTTGGTTGGAAGACTATGAAGTTGCCAAAACACATGAAACACGCAGGATCTGAAAATTATGCATCACATGGCTGGTTCAGTCACTCTGTCTATTGATGCAGCGTTCAGGATCCGTTTGTGCAACATCTCCATCCATCCAGCTATAAAGGCAATGAATCCCTCCTTCTGGCATTTTCCGCCTGTTAGATCCCTCCTTCTGTTTAGCAAAGCCTTGTCCATATGGAGCCATAATCAGCTTGGATGCACCTGAGTACAAGACCTCTTTATGGCATCTGCATAGCTTGAAGGAGCACCGTCTGAGGTCCAGCAGGTTTGACAGATTTCAAATGATTCAACATTAAAACAGAATAATTTTTTTTAAATCTGATTAGCCAGCTTTAGTTCAGGTTATATAAAGGGAAACATAAAAAGTCAGTAAGGTGGAAGCAAACAAAGAAGAAATATATCTACTGTTATGGTCTAAGAAAGCCAGTAGAGCAGGTCCCCTCCTAGAATAACAAGCAAGATGATCTTCATCTTAATCTATATGTTGAAATACATTTTAAGTGTATAGTTTGGTAAAATAAATAGTTTTAAAGATCTTATAATATTCACCTTGGAATTCAGTATTTTTGTGTCCAGTCACTGTGTTTCTGATGGCTTTATTGCAGGTGTGAATAATGGAGGGAACCAGTGCTTCTGTGTTTGTTACCATACAGAAAATCTACTACCCGCTGCTTTGCATCGTGGGTATTCCAGGTTTGTCTTCTTCTTTTAGAGCCAACAGTTGCATTTATTTTTGTGTTTTCTGCTGATTATGACGTATAGTTTAAAGAAACCCGAAAATTAGTTGCTCAGAAAGTGGAAATATTTTATCAGACAAATGAGAGAAAATGAAGAAAACATCTGCAAGGCATGTCCTGGTCTTGTGCGGACACCCTAAAAATCTTGAAACTAAAAGCCATAATTTCAGCGTTTGAATCTACTATTTTTTTTAAACCTGCCTGTAGAAATCATAACGGCTTAAGTAAACACCTACTCATATCTTGGTTTAATGTTTGATGTTTAATGTTACGTCGCTGGCTGCTCATAATGGGACGAAATGATTAACTGATGCTACTACAATTTACACCGGTGAGTGGGGTGGCCGGGGCATTGCACAGATTTTATTAGTGGGTTGAGGGTGCTTTTTCTATGGCTTACTGCTTCAGTGGATCATGGCATGTAGGACAGTAACTTTCTGCCTTAAATAATTATAATCTGAACTATAGTCCAGTCCATCTGCTCCTCAGGACAGGTTAGAGGCTTCTGACTCTTATCTGGTTCAGCGGTTGGGACAGTTGAAAGCAATGTCCAGGATGCATCTGTCTGGCATGGCTCTGAATTCAGAAATGTCAATATAACTGAAAAATTGTTTAAATTTTACCATTCTGGTAGCAGTTATGTGTTCAATCAATCTTTTGGTTAAAACAACTATACCAATTTGGTAGAGTTTTTAACTATTCTCCACTGTGCGGAAGCGTATTGCATTCACCAAAGAAAAAACAAACAGCTTATCTCATGATGACGACATAAGATACTGATCAGTATCTCGTAATTATGAGATGTTATCTCATATTTACGAGATCTTATCTCATAAATATGAGAAAAGCTGTCTGATTTTTTTTTTCTCTGTGAATACAATAGGCTTCCATACTATTGGTAAAAGTGCAAACCAATAGAAATTGGTCACTTAGACCTGCATACACTGCTACCGCCGCTAACACTTATTGGGATTTAGTACTAGTTATTACTTTTTTTTTAAACAGTGTCCTGTCTGGCAATGTGGCAATAAGAATAATTGTCTTGATGCCAAAAAGAGCCCAACAGATTTTACTTTCACAGTACTAGTTATTACTAATGTTACAAGCCAAGATCTGCATACTGTACATAACATTATAGTTGCTCTCTAGGTCCATAACTACACAATACACCTGGCTACACCCAAACAGTCAGATAAGTAAACCATCTGTTGCCATTTTTATTGGCTGTTTGGTTAACCAATTAAAATGTTTAATCTGGAACTACGGGCTTGGTGAGTTTCTGACCAATATATTGGTTAATCTAGCCAAAGTAGTTTTAACCAGCTAGAGTGGCTGTTTTTCCAAACTCCTGAACGGGTTTTTCTGTAAAATTTATTTAAGGCTGCGGTGAAACCACTATGGTTGCTATAACTGCACACTGCAAAAACCCTTTGTAGCATCACCTGAAGAGGAGGGTGATTAAAAACTGAACAAGTGCTACTTCTACTCTCCTTTAAAAAGTAATTTAATTAAGTAATTTAATTTAACATGTATTGTTTGAAATGCTTTTTTTAACATAATATTATCATCTCTTTTTTTAAGGCAGTAATTTTGGTTTTCATTTGCAGCCACATTTTTATCAGCCTTAGCAGCCCTGATGAATTAAATAGCTTGAAGTAAATGAATGCTCCTCTCCACTATTACCTTGTTTTACCTTTAAACAAGCATGGATTATTTATAAATATAATTTAGGAAGTTACTTCTTGGTTTTGTGTCTCCTTCCAGCAAACCTCTTCACGTTCTACATGATCCGTTTCCGTAAATGTGGGATGTCCAGCTCGGCCATCGTTTACCTGAGCTGTCTGGCCATTGTTGACACGTTCTATCTGGTGTGGGTCATACTTCTGGACCTGACTTTGAGCTTTTGGATCCTTCAACCCTTCTGGCACTTCTTCCCCTGGTGTGGTATCCTTGGGTTCCTACAGTACGGCTCTCTCTACAGCTCCTCCTGGATTGTGGTGGTGTTCACCATCGAGCGCTACCTGGTCCTCCGCAGCCCAGCATCCAAGCAGAACCTTTCCCAATCCTGGGCCACTAAAATGATCTGCACAGTTGTTGTCCTGCTGTCCCACCTGGTGTCTGTGCCCATGGGCTGGATCAATATCGTCACACCTGTGAACTTCACCATACATGGGGAGAACACAACCCTCCCTCGATGTCGATATCGCAATCACACCTACTCTACAGTTGTAGTGTGGATAGCTACCTTCCTATCCGGAGGAATTCCCATTGTGTTGGTCATCACCTTCAATTGCCTCATTGGGTACCACCTATGCCGGGCCAGTAACCTCTTCACAAAGGAGGAACGACGTTTTATGTATGGAAAGAGCACCAGAAGCACATTGAAGAGAACGATTCTCCTGCTGTTAACCGTCTCTGTGGCCTTTGTCGTTCTTAGCCTGCCTCGATTTGTCACATACTGCATCCTTAGGACCAGGTACAATGATGAAACCTTCAACAGGAATGACTACAGCATTCCCATCAATGTAGCCGGGGACATGGCTAACATGCTACAGAACCTTAACTCCACCACCAACTTTTTGTTGTACTGCATGGTTAGTCGTCGCTTCCGGCAGGAGTTGGTTCAGACCATGAGGTGTAAGGCAACATCCAGCGATCTGAGCTCCCTTCTGAGCAACACCACTATGAAGGTTTTCTCTGTTGTAAATAACACGGCTTCTCCATCCAGGAACTCTATGACTGTGGTTTTAACCAGTCTCAAACCAATGGGGTAGAAAGGAACGGTTTAAATGGATTTTGGCTTCGGTTGAATCAGGTCCTCTGACTGAGCTCCTATGATGATGATGCCAACATTTCAGCCTAATAAATTATCGCAAAACAGTTTTTATTTCAACTCCATTTGGTTTAGGATTTTTCAGAAAGAATAAATGCACTAAAGAGGGGATGGAAACTCATGTTGTTAAATAAGTTTTCACGTAGTGAGAATCATTGTTAATGCCAGCAATAGAATCAGACATCCTTCTCGGTCTCATTGCTAATACAACCTAACATATTAAGTTACCTAACTACCAGGATTGCAACAAATTCATTCATCTTATTACTGCTTTGTGGTATGTGCTGTTTGCCACCTCTACTTGCTGTGCAGCCAAGTGTAACTCGGATGCATCAAGAAAAGTTCCAAAAAGGCAATAAGAAAATGCTGTCTGAATCCTTGAAATTGCACAATCCTGGCATATCTGGCATAGACAGCAGACCAGATCAGTAGTGGTATCACCAGGGGAGTTACTGGAATGAAGTCAGGGAAACAGTGAGTAAAGTTTGCTCATTATTGCATTAAATACCTCCACAAACACCTCTCAGAGCTCGATAGGGGTAATGTTTTCATGCCCCAAAGCAGTTTGTAGTAGGCAATGGTTAGCATATATGGTTAGCATATATGAACTACTCCACGGGTAGGGCACCCAACTTGCAAAACAGTTGCACAGCACCTCATGCTATCCTGTATATTCAATTCTGTTTATGTTTTATTCCATTCAATAACATTCTCTTTAAACATTCTGTCCTCACAATCAACAAAGTCCTAGTTTGTCTCCTTGCAAACCTTGAGGTACTGTGAGGAACTACTCCGGTTCAGTGTGTAGCCAGCATTTACTTCCTGGTTACTGGATCCTACAGTATGAGTTACCAGAGTTGTCAAAACAGAGCATTGCCTTTGGTATTTTATGTTGGCAAAAGTGCAGCAGCCTGCAAACAAGAAAGCTGGCAAGAATGGTTGACCAGATATAGTCTCAACATTACCTAAGAAGCCTCGGCATCCTTAACAAGTATTTGCACAACTACTGACTGTGACTGAATCATCCTCAATGATCATCTTGATTTTTTTGAGATGTGAGAACTTACTCGACAAATGTGTTTTCATCTCTGTTTTAATGTGCTTAGTCTTATTTGGAAAAAGTAATAGAAAAGCACCCCAAGTTCTTCCAATTGGATATTGAGAAAAGCACCTAAAAATTGATTATGGAAACATTTGTTAGACTCCTGAGGCCACTATCTCCCCCTCCAAAGAAAGCATGTCAGAATCCCATCCATGAGGGATAGTGTCCTGCACCTTGCACCTTTTAGATTCGTCATTGCTCTGACACATCTGAATCAAATAATTGGGTGTTTTTATCGACTGGAGAACTGGACTTAAGCTGAGGAATTTATTGAAATCAGGTGTGTTGGATCTCTAAAAGTTGCAGGATATTGGCGTAAAGTTTCAATTTCTTTAAAGAATCCAGCAGACTCTGCAAGTAATAACTCAGCAGGGGGATACAGGGGGATACCTCTGTGAAGCAGAAACTGGGCTAATGGTTCTCTATTTTAACAGTTGGACCAGAGAAAAAGGCACCAACTTTCTCAGGTTCTGGGAGAAGGAGAAGAAGGATGTTGCAGGGTCCTTTGCAGATCTTGGAACCATGGTAATGTCACTTCAGGCTTGGATGACAGATGTAGTTCTCGAATGAGACAGGAGGAAAGAGTAATGCAGGTACTTGCACTGATGAGGAACCTCTATTTTGGTCTTTAAGGAGAGAGATCATGCTTGTTGTTCTGGGGACAGACAAAAGGTCAGAGCCAATACAACCACAGGGAGAGGGATCTGAGCAAAGTCGAGACTCCGCAGCCTTAGAACCGAAACAAGGTTAAAACTTTAGAAACAGAATGAGGCTTATAGAACTAGGCGAAAAGGCGATGGTCAGGAAGTGTTGAAGTCCAGAAACCATAAAACTCTATGAGGTCCAGCCAGGTTGTGTCATGATGGGTATCAGAGCTAGCCCAATATGCAGAACACACACGGAGGCTGGATAAAAAGTTTAACAGAGTTTATTGTTTCACAAGCACATGAATATTGCACAGGAACTGGGACTGGTCAGGGGGCTGGTTCACTGGAGTCTGCAGAGATGATAGTTCAGTTGGCAAACGAACTGATGAGTAATGAGTCTTTGATATCTCAGAAGAATACCTTGAAGGAGTCCGGTTTTCACTTTGAGAGAGAGAACTGTTGGGTCCAGAGACTGTTTGTTCAGCAGAGTCCAATAACTGTTTCAGCGTCTTACTTCTGACTTTGAGGGCAGACCTTGATTTGAGTTTCCAGCTCTTAGCCAAGAGCTGCAGGGGAATCCACAGAAGAGTCTTCAGGTTTGGCTCACGAGGGCAGGCTCGGCAGGTTAAGCTCATCCAGAGCCTCAGGTAGAGACAGGATTCCTGTGAGGCAAAAACAAGGAAGAATTAGAATCTGATCTCATCAAGAGATAGCTAAGATTCTCAGGTTACTAGGCTCAGGTCGCTAACCAAACTAGATCAACACTGCGGCGTCGAAGCAAGGTCTGGAAGCAGGTTATATAGGGCTGGACTTCTGATGAGGAGATGCGCCTCAGGTGTGTTGGAAGGCTCAGCTCAGGAGGACCCACGGCACACTCTGCTGGAGGAAGGTGGTACAGCTCCAGATCCCAACAGGTTAAGGCAAAGGCAAGGCAGTTTCCAGATAGAAAGAGGATAAGAAACAAGGAATCAAGCAGAGATGGAACGCTTGACATCTCCTAACCTAATGGTTTTCAATAATCTGGCCCTGTCAACTAGTTTGTCATTTGCCTTTAAACACTGGAGCACAGCTGGGAGGAATGAGTTTAGTTGAGAGTGAGCGGGAGCAGCACAGATGTGCTCAATGAGCAATCATAAGGCGGGGTGGAAAGTGATGGGAATTACAACCAGCTGAGAGGCAGGAATCATGACAACAGGTCAGGAAGAATAACAGGAAGACATCAGTTTGACTCTAAAGCTTGCGTTGGGCATCCCTGATACCCCTGTGACTCCTTTTAAGCAATTGGCAAAAGAGAAGCACAGCTGTTGTCAATAGGTGTTTTTGTAATTATATGATCTTGTGTTTAAGTAGCTTTGAAAATATTCAAAGCAAGCCCTGTGTACCAAAACCCAGAACACAAATTCTACCTCCTTATTTTTTGACAAAGGTAATCTTCGCAAAAATGGTTAAAATTGTAGGCAACCAGATGTTCACTCAGTTTTTCTAAAAAAAAAACTTTTCGACACCTATGTAGGAGCCTTTGTCAGTTCTGATGGCTAGCACTACAGAAATCTGTAGTTTGAGCGCTGATGTTTTTAAGCACCTAGAGATTGATGGTCCTAGGCACATTCAGTTTGATTAAATTCAATTCAGTCTATTTATATAGCGCCAATTCACAGCATGTCATATCAAAGCTCTTAATAAAGACAATTAAACCAGATCATACAGTTAGATTGGTGGCAACTTAGCAACCCAGGAGACATTCAGGCCAAACGCAGTGTCTGCGGTGTTCATAGAGGACAGCAGCCGTGCAGATTATTTTAGTGGCCCAGACAGAGTTGTAGATGTTTGTAAGCTGAATCCACAACCTGCCCCCTCTGTTAAGTGATGGATTTTCTCTTTTGAGAAAAATGTCTCTGTCCAAGATTGGAACATTAGTCTCATTTACACTACCCTCTGAAAAAAAAATCAGTGCCGAGCTTGAATCAGTTAACCTTGCCGAGCACAGTTTCTTAAGACCGTTTACACACTGCGCTAGCACGGTTCCTCGCCTTCTAGTGACGTTATACGGTACTACTGCTCTCTAGAGGTAAACAAGCAAATCCAGCTGGCGGCACCGATAACATTTAGGTAGTTTGCAGAGAGTCAGGCGAAGAAGGCAACCTTTGGTGAATTTACTCGACAGAGTCGGCTTTTGGGAAGTGGATACGACAAACGATAGACTAATCAGGGCTTCTAGACAAAGGAAACAATGACGTTAATCATACTGCTGAGTAGAATCATCACTGGAAATCATGTGGGATGGTAGAGAAGCTAGGATTTTTATGAATTTCTGAAATTGCATGATTACAGAGGCTGACTTTAAGGAGGTGACACGGTCAGCTCATGCGCTCATTGGCTACGTTCACACTGCAGGCCTTGATGCTCTATTCTGATTTTTTGTGAAATCCGATTTTTTTCGCGTTGCTATTCATATTTCCAAATATGCGACTTGTATGTGATATACAACGCAGGTATCCCGCATGAGCAGTAGAGGACACAATGACGTCACAGGCCAGCGTGCTCTTTTTTTCCAGAAGTAAACGTAGATGGTAGTGCCAGCGCGCACTAGCGGTCTTTTCCAACAATAAAAACACGAATTTTTCAATATGTTTAAAGATAAATACTGCTCTCTGCATCATCATCTGCCATGGTTGTTGTTTTTCTTGCCGCTTCTACGTAGCAAGACACAGAATAGTGACCTTTGTCGGGTTTTAATGACGTTCACACACAGGTCGCATTTGAAAAGATCAGATTTGTATCGGATTCAGGACCACATAGCCAAGCGGCCTGGGTCGGATTGAAAAGAAAACCGGATCTGTGCTGTTCAGACTGACATGAAAAGATCAGATCCAGATCACATGTGGGCAAAAAAATCGGATTTGGGTCACTTCAGGCTGCAGTGTGAACGTACTGTAGCCTTTCTTACCTGGGAACTGATGCAGAATTGAACTGCGCCGAGACCTACTGATGACCTTGTACCCGTGTAGCGCGCTGCTGGTTAGGTGTTGAAACTGTCAGAAAAAGTGAGAAAACGTTTGTTTGTCTGCAGTTGACACCTGTTTAGTGGTTTCCATGACCTGCAATAACTGAGAATTTGCACAGGCACAAGGGTGATGTTTGTATAATATGTATAACCTGCCAATTTGAAAGAGTGTACTTTTTTAAACTTGGCTTGTATGTCACATTCTTCAAATAAACTTATGCTATCAAAAGGCCTCATATAGGGGGCTATAATTATCTGTTTAAATTAATGGTAGTTTCTATAAGCAGATTTGAGTGTATGATGAAAAAAGGTGATTTAACCTGCTGTATTTTCTTTGTTTTTGTTTGAAATTGTTAGCAGAGTGTAGTAAATTAAACTATTTCTGTTAGTAACATGTTTTACTTCTACTGCCAGCATTAGCATGTCTATAGTTTGGCCATTCATTATTCTCTTGCATGGGTTATTGAATGTAATAAAAGGAACTGGAGGTTGACAATATCGAGTTGGGTAAAAGGTCCTGTTTTTTTTTATCAGTCAGTCAATATTTACGGCACGTTAGGGACAGGCCTAACATAAGAAGATAAGAAAGGGTCACTGAGACCTGTCACTTAAGTGCCATGTGCCACTTTCAATGCACTCAAACTCTCCATAGTATTTAAGGATCAATATTGTGGAGTTCATAAACCTCTGAATCATTTATTATAGCACTACTTTTCTAATTGAGTTTTTTATTATTATTTTAAAAGATCAACCTATTATCTGGGTATCGGATTTCAAGTTTCCCTGCAGGTCATCTGAAAAGCTTTAGTCAAATTAATCTGGTGGTAGCTTTCACTTTTATTTCCGGGCTTCCAGTAACCAAAAGTCAATGAAGCAACATAATATCAGTCTCACTAATGGGTTTTTAGGGGGTAATTGTTACAGTATATGATGATTTATGTCATATCTAATTATGTAAAAGAAATGGTCTCATGTTACCTTTGTTTGTATTACATGTTTTAGTACAAAGATTTACTTCAACAAAGCAGCCAGCCTGCCTGCCATTGATTGTTGGGTACATTAAGAAACTCAAGGCACCACATAAATTCTTAACTTGTTAGACGATATATATCCAGCAATGATAAACCAAAAACTATATTACCTAGATCATACGTCTCAAACTCAAGGCCTGCTGACGGAATCTGTCTCCACACGGTAGATTAATCATGCCTTAAGAGCTAAAAACAGGCATATTATATCTATATAAATAGCAGTAAATTTATACACTGGAAAAACGAAATAGAAATAAATAAAATGTCTTAAATTAAGTGTATTTAGGCTTAATTTTAGTACGGTAGGTAAATGAATGCCAATGGAATGAGTATTTTTACTCTTAAAATAAGATAATTAGATAACATGCACTTGAAATAAGACTGTGCAATTGTGTTTTCTTATTTTAAATGTAAATTGTCTGGTTCCATTGGCAAAATGTGTCTTTTACCTCCTCAATCCAAGAACAAATGCACTTATTTAAAGAAAAAAATTACTTTAAAAAATACAGTACATTTTTTACAGTGCAGTGTTCTTTTCCTATACAAAATGATAAGATAAAAAGTTTCATTTATAGAGCTGCAACCTAAACTAGCTAGTTCAATGACCTCAGGGTGCTAAATGCTTAAAACCGAAAGTTAAACTTCAAACCATCACTTATCTGATTACGGTATTTTGTTATCAATTATCTGACCTCTTGAAAAGAGACTCCAAATAGCCTTTTATCCCTAAGTGGTCATTTGATCCTTTTGACCAGGCATCCCCAAAGTCCTCGAGGGCCGCTGTCCTGCAGGTTTTAGAGGTTTCTCTGCTCCATAACAGCTGATTTACATTGATGGTTGATTAACAGGCATTTGCTGAACTGCAATCGGCCTTGCTACAGCAGATAATCCTTAGGCTGGTGGCCCTCGGGGAATGACTTTGCCTGCTTTAGACTAATAAATCTATAAAGCCGGACATTGAGTCTGAGTTAGCACAACATTGTGACTTCTACACCATGAACAAAATCTAGATAAGTCATTTTTTCTTAAAATAAGTGCATTTGTTCTTGAATTGAGGAGATAAAAGAGACATCTTGCCAATGGAACAAGACAATTTAGATTTAAAATAAGAAAACACAATTGCATTGTCTTATTTCAAGTGAATATTATCTAATTATTTTATTTTAAGAGTAAAAATACTGATTCCATTGGCAAACTAACTCATTTACCTACTCAAATTAAGTGTAAATACACTTAATTTAAGAAATTTGTACTTATTTCTAGATAATTTTCCAGTGAATGATGTATGACACTAAAATTCAGTAAAGGACCACATAAAGAGGGGCAGAAATAGACAGAAAAAAGACTTGCAAATGCTTGATCTTTCACATAATACTGTCAGGTTTAGATGTCCTAACATGTAGTTTTCCAAACAGCACCAATGTGGAGTTTTTTTTCCTTTCAAGAGACGTTTAAAAACAAGCGACAGGAAGTAAGGTAAAGTGGTCCTAAAGTTATAGATATATCTGGCTGAGGAGTATTCTTTGGTCAAAGTTAAGCTTTGGGAATCTTCTTCCAGCCTATATGCCGACTAAACACCATCTAATGGAGCAAGATGTGTCTCAAAAGTTTCCTTCTAACTGTTCTTCCCCGTTTTAGTATCAGGTTATCTCTAAGACAGTTAAACTGGACTAGCCAACTGGAAAAAATCTAAATCTAGATAAGTAATTCTTTGCTTAAAATAAGAGCATTTATTCTTGGATTGAGGAGGTAAAAGACACATGTCTAATTAATTAAACTCATTCCATTGAAAAACATCATTTACCTAATCAAATTAAGAGTAAATACACTTAATTTAAGACATTTTGCTTATTTGTAGATCGTTTTCCCAGTGCGGTATACCTGTTTTTGATAAATTTACTCAATGCCCAGAGTCATTTGCATAAATGAGTCACAAGGCATCAAAACTTTGCATAAACCAGGAAGAGGGAATATTTCCTGTTTGCCTCGATGGTCTGAAGTGCGGCTGAGGAGTAGGGAGACAGAAGCTGAAGTGAGTACTTTCGGCTTTGTTCTTCTTGTTTCATTCCTCTTTTGAGGTTCGGGACACAAATGTTGATGTTGTTCTTTGGAAGACACCCCCGGCATACTTTCCAGTCAGTAGCAATGACCTTTGTACTTTTTGTGCTATCAGGTTACATTCCAGCCAGTCTCAACAGGTAGAGGTGTCGTTTCATACAGTTCAGTGATAAAGATTAATTACCGAGTTAAAGAGCTTGTGAAAAAGATTTCTCCATGTTCAGAGTCATACTTTTAATTCTGGGATAGATATACGTAGCAGCAGTTTCTGTTTGACATCCTGGGTCTGCAGTTGTTTTCATGGCTGTTCTTATGCAACATTTCTTTCTGTTTCAGTCGTTCTAGTTTCTTAGATTCCTGATATATTGTTCTCCCCTCCCTTACGGCAGATTTCTGTCTAACATGGAAAGTAACAAAGGTAGGCAACACCTTCCTCTTCAGCCTGTCTCTCTTGTTGATCTAAAAGTAGTTCCCTGTATACTGAGAGCATGTTGTGCGTTGGTTTGTTGTTTCAGGTCCTTGCTCTCATCGGAGCATTCCCATTGAGACGGATGAGAGAATGACAGTGTCCAGTGTTGACTTGGCCATGATGCCCTCTTGTAACAATTGTGCTGATCATGAAGAGCAAGGTAGGAAAGCTGAGAAGCATGGCTGGGATAGAGAGGTGTGTGAGCAGTTCCCTGGGAGGCTCCCTGAGGGCTTGTACCAATGTGAAGGAAGAACAGCTTCTCGGGCTTCTTCTGGCTTTCCTTTTGTGGCCCAACAAGCGGCTCACCCAGATCATCCTGTCAGACAGCAACAGCTATTCTACGGACGACATCCCATGAATGATCACAGGAGGGCCGTCATGGGTTCTTCTTTTGAAGAACCAGAGTTTTTGGAGCCCCCGTTACCTCTCATGTCAAACGTAAACATGGATCAGCATAATCTACAACAATACCCAACACCATTCATGCCAGGTCAGTGGAACTGCTCCATCTTTCGCATGATAACAGTTGGGATCCACACGTTGAAATGTGCTTCTTTTCACCTACAAACCGTCTTTAAATAGTTCCTATATTTGGTTAATAAGTAATTCACATCTGGACCTAAAAGAAAGACCAGCATATACAGTGCTCTGAGAGTCTACTCGTACCCATCAATTATCCTAGTGTGTTTTTCATTCAATCTAAAAAGTTACAACTGAGAAATGGGCCAACAATTCACCACCAAAATCAGAGTCGCCCTGGCAATATTTCTGGGGTGTCTGTTCCCCTCATTCCAACAGCTCCCAATGTTTATTCCCCCAACTTTAGAAACGGCTTTGCAACACTTCCCAGCTTGAGAGGTCCCAGTGACTTCTGGTTGATTTTAACACCTACTTCATGTTGTCAGACAGCTTCTGTTTACTTGGCTTCTTGGTTCTATAGGTGTGGCAGTAACCCCCGGCTCACACTGACTCCGGTCTTACCGTTGCGGTGCGGTGAGTGCGGCGCCACAGTGATTCCAAGTCATTAAAAAGACGTAAACCTCTCTCACCGGCTGAGAGAAAATTCTTGCAGAAAATTCAGCAAGAAAGCTATCCTTGCGGCGTGCCGGAGCCCTCCGCAACAAGCTCTTGCAAATATCCTTATTTGGGCTGTGTTATCGCGTGAAGTTACGTGAACTCAAGTGAACTTAAGTTAAATCTCCGGACCTGTTGCCGGAGCCGCAGAGCCGCACCACACCGTAGTCAAAAGGGCGGGGTGTGCGAGAGTTGCGGTCTCCGTCGGCTCGGTAACCGCACCGGAGCCAGTGTGAGCAAGGGTGGGGAGTTTTGAAAATGGACCAAAATATACAAGAATAAGAACATGAAATCTGATGATGGGAAACATTTAAGTCAGACAAAAAGATTTCATCCATTCATCCATCCATCCATCCATCCATCCATATATCCATTCATCAATCATCCATCCATCCATCAATCATCCATCAATCATCCATCCATCCATCCATCCATCCACCCATCCATCCATCCATCCATCCATCCACCCATCCATCCATCCATCCATCCATCAATCATCCATCCATCCACCCACCCATCCATCCACCCATCCATCCATCCATCCATCCATCAATCATCCATCCATCCATCAATCAATCATCCATCATCCATCCATCCATCCATCAAACCATACATCCATTCATCTATCAAACCATACATCCATCATCCATCCATCCATCCATCAATCCATCCATCCATCAAACCATCCATCCATCCATCCATCAAACCATCCATCCATCCATCCATCCATCCATCCATCAAACCATCCATCAAACCATCCATCCATCCATTCATCCATCCATCCATCCATTCATCAAACCATCCATCAAACCATACATCCATTCATCTATCAAACCATACATCCATCATCCATCCATCCATCAATCCATCATCCATCAAACCATCCATCCATCCATCCATCCATCAAACCATCCATCCATCATTTCATCCATCATCCATCCTTCCATCCATCAAACCATCCATCCATTCATCCATCATCCATCCTTCCATCCATCAAACCATCCATCCATCCATCCATCCATCAATCATCCATCCATCCATCCATCAAACCATCCATCCATCCATCCATCAATCATCCATCCATCCATCAATCATCCATCCATCCATCCATCATCCATCCATCCATCCATCCATCAATCATCCATCCATCCATCCATCCATCCATCCATCCATCCATCCATCCATCCATCCATCCATCCATCCATCCATCCACTTTCCACAACTTGGAAAGAAAAATCACATTGCTGCAGCAAGTAGTGTCACTACCTCAATAGAAATAAAGATCTGTTCAGAAAGCAGAGAGATCCGTTAATGTCAGGTGAAGTTTGAGCTGTGGATCTGCTGTGGGTTAATGACATTGGCCTTGGTGAGAAAATGGGGCAAACTCTACTCAAGAACAGATCTATTGGGTCCAAAGTGTATTTCATCCTGCTGATTTCATCAGTTCTCTATTAGTTGATTAAAAAATACATAATTTCAGATTTTTTTAACCATAGTACTCTACAGAAACATGCAATATGTGGCAGAGATGCAGGCAGCCTATCCAACAGATTGTTTGTTCTGCCGTCCTTCTCTACAGGCCCTGTTCCAATGCAGAGACAGGTTCCCCATCCTGCACCTCACCACCACAACAATCCCTGCTGTCACAATCAGGGCACTCCTCCACACCCACAACAGTTCGTTGTCAGATTTATTTATTAGTATGCATCGGTATCTACGATGTGCTGTGGACTTTGTCCTCCTGATGGCTCATGTCCTCTACAGGAATGGCCCACAGGGCAGGCCTCATCTTCAAGGTGTACCGTGTGTGCCACCTCCTGCTGATGTGATGCGTGAAGTCAGTGTAGACTGCTCAGGTGTTGCAGGTCCAGGAGCGGTCACCAGGGAGGTCAGGAAGACCATCAGCTTGCCGGAGGAGAGCAGTAAGCCACATGATCCTGATGTAACAGGTGTCTGTAACATTTTACCTACCAGATTAAAGATGTTTCACATCCCTCTTTATTCCAGGGAATGTTTTCATCACGTATTCAGTCGACACAGCTGATGAAATTATAAAATTTGTTGCATTTCTGACCAACCAAGGGTTCAAACCAGCCGTAAGTTCTTCTTGTCTTTCTATCACCTTTTGATCCACACGTATTTTACACACTCACCATTTTACTAATCTGCACAGATTGATATATTTGACAATCCAATCCGAAGATTGGGCATCAGCATATGGATGGACCGCTACCTGAATGATGTGAGCCTGACTGATGACTTGTCTGTCTTCTTGAAGACGAGTGTTCTCTAAAAGCTGAGTGTTGCTTTTTGACAGAAATCAGTGCTCATTATCGTGGTCATCAGCCCCAAGTACAAGGAGGATATAGAGAGAGTAGGAGACGACGAGCATGGCCTCCACACCAAGTATATCCACAACCAGGTGCACCTGCCAAAAACTGTTTCCTGTGAAAACTGCCCTCTTGTGGCTGTTTGCAAACTTGCAGTACAGTAGTGCATCCATAGACTAAATAAAACACTGAGCTGTGGAAAAACTTCTACCTATGTGAACCTTGTCTTTTAACCCTAATTCATCAACATTTTCCATCCTTTGTTTTGCCACAGATTCAAAATGAGTTCATCCAACAAGGCTGCCTGAACTTCAGACTGGTCCCTGTTTTGTTCCCAAATGCTACTAAGGTGAGAAAACACTGCAGGTTCTGTTACATTTTCCCAAAAATCCATTAGTATCATTAACAAACATCTGATTTTGACAGGCTGCACAGTAGTGTAGGTGGTAGTGCTGTTGCCTTGCAGTCACAAAGTTCAAAGTCCAGTTCACACTCCAGTGGCTTTCTGCCGGTGTTTGCATGTTTTCCCTGTGCATGTGCGGGTACCATCCAGATCCTCCAAACGTTCTTCCTTTCAAAGATCAAAATCATGACCATTAGGTTAATTGGTTCACAATTATTATTCACAAATGGGAATAAATCAAAACTATCTGCATCATACCTGTGAAAAGCTCAGTGTGACACACTGCTGCGGGGAGTATAACCAGCCCTTTAGGTTGACAATTAGCAAAGCAAAGGATGCATTTCAACCAATGGGAATGGTGCAAATTGGGTGATCAGAAATGCAGAGAGAGCAAAACAAAATTTTGCACTGAATTTTGCTTGTGTTATCCCATCAGTGACTGGATGTGGTTGTGATATAAGGTGATGTAGCAAAGCAGAAACAAAGGTATTTTCAGTCAAAAACTCACTGGAGTTAAGTCATCTCCATCACCATAAACATGGTGCAAAAAACGCATTGATATGGAAGTTCAGAGCTTTTAATATATATGGTGCAAGTATGCAGTGCTTTGGTTCGGTGTTATCAGTGAGATAGAGTTTTTTCAACATTTAGCAATCTGATGGCGGTGGGGAATAAATAAGCTGTTGCTGAATCGGCTGGACCCGCATCACATGCTGCAAAGCCTCTTCCCAGAGGGCAGCAGAGAGAACAGTCCATGGTGGGGGTGTGAGGGGTCACTGATGATGTTACGGTCGCTGGGATGAAATGTCTTTCATGGAGGGAAGATGATCCTCTCTGCTCTTCTCACCTTCTTCCAGTCTGAGGCGCTGCAGCCTCCACACCACACAGTGAGACAGCAGGTCAGAACGCTCTCTATGGGGCTTCTGTAGAAGGTGGGGAGGATGGGTGTGGCAGGTGGGCTCTCCTCATCCTCTGCAGGAAGTACAACTGCTTCTGTGACCTTTTGACCAGTGAGGTGGTGTTTATAGTCCATGTGAGGTTGTCTGTGATTTGCACCCCCAGGAATTTGGTGCTGCTGACCACCTCTACAGCTTCTTGTATCAGTTAGTCAGGTGACTAGGCCCTACAGTTCCATTAGATGGTAACAGAGGGGATTGTTTTTTCTGTCTTTGGTCTGGACCACATGTTGATTTCGTTAGAACATTAAACCCCTTTTTGACGCTTTCGATGAAGGTTTTGAAAGAGAATAAGGCGGTAAAGCTGGGATAAGGGTAGTTTATGGGGATAATCTGATCTGGTTTTCTCTTTCTGTTAGAAACATGTGCCCAGCTGGCTCCAGAACACCAGGATCTACCGCTGGCCCAATGACACCCAGGACCTGCTCCTGCGTCTGCTCAGGGAGGAGCGCTACATCATCCCTCAGAGAGGAGCTGACCTTACCCTCACTGTTCGTCCTTTGTGAGGATGCAAAAAAAAGGGACTCTTGGAAAAACATTCACCCTCTAGAAGCTCAACATACTGAATCATATCGCATTAATGTAGAATTTCAGATCTTGGAATCTTTCTCTTTTGATTTTTAAAGGCATTATTTCCCCTTCAGCATTTTATGGTTCAATCTATACTGTCAGATGAAAACTAACACATAATGTAAAATTGCAATATCTGTTAATTCTGTCTGTTAAATCACCATTAATTATTGATTATGGAGGCAGCAAAGGAATGGATAAACCCAAACAAAGTTTTTTCTTCAATACATTTTATTGAATTTTCTCTTTTTTGACACAACAAACTTACAGACAACAAACTTAACTTTCACTGAAAAAATGAATGCAATAATTTCTGGCATTTAATTAATCAGATTTTGTTACTTGTAACTAAATATGATTAATTAAATGCCAAAAGGGGTTATATTATTTTTTTCAGTTTTGTAACATGCACTTATACACACTTACATTCACTCATGCATTCAGCATTCAAACCTGCATTTGTCTAGTTCCAAAAATATACAAAATCCCTTTAGATTAAGGCAGAGAAAAATAACGAGGCGATATATGAATAGAAACTGTAGTAAAGACATCCATTCAAGACACCAATCAAAAAGCTCCACCTTCAGTCCCTATGACCATATATGGCTCCCTTAGATTCTCAGTCTCGTTGTATGTTAGTTTTGTTTTTGAGTGAATCCGCAACTTCTTTCCTGCAGAGTCCCATTGAGGGGGGCTCCATGCTCCTTCAGCATAGTGCAATAGCTTGAAGGCTTGAAGAAGTCCGTAGTCTTTCAATGCAGTTGTCCTCTGCGATTGTTTAAATTCTATTGCGTATGTTCCTAGAACACAGATTTTAATCTCTAATGGGACTTTCAGAGTAAACTATTCAGACAGGCATCTAATAACATCCTTCCAAAACCTCTGGAATTTAAGACTTTCCAAAAAAAAAAGAAAATTAAAAACAATCCACTGAACTTTGTTTCCGAGTTTGAAGATGTTTCTCTTCCCATCCAGGAAGCTTTTTCATTTCAAAATGTCAGAAATAGCGTTGAGTTCCAGGTTTTATACAGCAGCCCAACAAAGCCTTGTTTTTGTTTAGAAAACATGCAAATTGAAACGGGCGAACGGGTCCACCCCATTGGAATGAGGGTCATTTGGCTTCTTTGTTAGTCTACAATGCTCCATACCTGTCTATGTTTCTGATAGGGGTCATTAAAGTGAATTGTTGGCCTGGCTGAATAGGCGAGGTCTTCTGTTCCCCTATTTAAAAGAGGCAGACCCCTTTGTCCGTTTCAATTTGCATGTTTCCAAAATAAAAACAAGGATTTGTTGAGCTACCGTATAAAACCTCAAAATCAACGCCATTCCTGACATTTTGATTTGAAAAAGCTTCCTGGATGGGAAGAGAAACATCTTCAAACTAAGAAACAAAGTCCAGTGGATTGTTTTTAATTTTCTTTTTTTGGAATGACGATGACCTGGATGACTGAGAACCTTCACCTGCATATTGAACTCCATTTTGGGATCAATTTTAAGACATTCCCATAAACAATGGAGAAGAGTTCCTTCTACAAATAAAAGTTTAGTGCAATTATTTAGAATATCACTAGACATATGATGAAGCCTAACTGGTGTTATATAGGTTCTCATAAGCCATTTATATTGCAGAATTTTATATAGTGTGATCTGGACCCAACCTGATTTAAAACATTTATAAATTATCTCATTCTTTCCAACGGCATTGTCTAATTTCACTTGCGCCGCTTCTCCTGTTACTATGGTAAAGCCCTCCAGCACCAGGCTGCACGTGATCCGTGTGTCAGTCTGGGTTGCTGCTGCTGCTACTATTAGACACAGCAGGCAAACCTGTGACAAGCCGGGCGATGGGAAAGAAGGAGAAGATGATGAGAAAAAGAGAGCAGAGAAAGTGTGGACTGCTGGAAGAACTGTGGTGAACTGGTGAAAGAAAAGTGAAATGGTGCTCAAAGATGACCCTGAACATTTAGAGGATGTTTGGCTCAACCGGCTGCTGTGAAGCAGGATTCTCCACCATGAACAGAATCAACAATAAATATGGATCCAGGCTCTAAATGAGCTCCTTGATATGTGCTTTAGAATGGCTTAGTCTCCATTCAAACCAGGTTTAAAGCCTTGCAGGGCAGCATGAAGCCCACTGCCAACATTAAGACAGAAAAAAGAAAGAAAAAACAAACAAATGGTCAGTTCAGGTGTTTTATAAATTATGTGAATCAGGAAATTGTCTATATACCAAACTGAGCAATTGTTACCTATTTAAAATTTTTATATATTACATGGATCCATAAACACCTAATTTTATTTCTCTGCTAAATTCTGTTTAAAGTAACAGATTATAATTAAAAATGTCTCCAGACCTTTACTGGTTGATGATTTTCTTTATTCGGACCCCTCTGCACATCATTCTGACTTCATCTGCACGTTCTACATGTTTTTTCTCTCGTTATTAATAAAACACTTTTTACAGATTATATGGGTTTTATTTTACACTCTGATTCTTTATGATAATTGACCAGTAGGTGGCAGTATTCACCAATAAAAACACTATGAGCCCTGGTAGTTTTTCCTCTGCTGTGCTGTTTTATATTTGTTGTAAGAAGGAATAGAAACCAACAGGTGAGGAAGTTATTTTGAGATAAAAGAGAAATAGGTGGATTAAAAAGGTATCAGAAAGTTAACAGATCTGTAGACCAGCCACAACTGAAACATCCGGTCCAGATGTTCCACAGCAGCACCCTGATAAGCCTTCTCTGTGTGGGGCACCTGTAACGATCAGACTTCAGCCTATACCTCCTCTTTCTGCATTGTTGCAATGCTGGGTGTACCGCAGGAGGTTGGGTGATTTGCACACATTTGTTGGTGTGTGTGGTGGTGGTGGTGGGGGGGTGTGCATGTTATCAGCACCAGGTCCTGTCTCTGCAAACACCAGTGCAGCCAGAACCAATAAATCCAGCCTTTGTTATTGTGTTGCAGGACTTGCAGGACAATCCACTCAATCTTATCTTGTTATCTTGTGCGGCCAAAGCTTTGAGACGCAGACATTTCCCCCATTTTAGGACTGGAGCCCCACATCTTTTGTTTCCCACAGACATACTTGCATGTTATAACCTGTAGGCTGTACTTGTTTGTTTTTAGATTTTCCTATTGCTCTAGATTGCATTAAAATTCGTGGCTTCTCATCTGAATTTACGTCTCATCTTTGACTGGAACGTTCTAATGCATGGATTAGCTTTGATGTAAATCTTCCAATTGGAGCTCTGGCTCTATGATCAGGATGTCTGCCATGCTGGAAGGCAAAAATCCCCCCCATCCCCCCATCTCAGTCTTTTGATTCAACAAAAAGGTTTTTCTTCCAGGATTTTTCTGTATTTTGCTCTTTCTGTGTTTCCATCAAAACAGACCAGCTCCCCTGTCACCTCTGAGAAGCAACCTTTAGGATAACAAATTGTTTTCGCGGTCAGTTTCACTTTGATCCATGTTTTTCTTTGTTTTCTAGTTTTATTGGTTTAATTCCTATTTTGTTGTGTTTTCTGGAAATATTTGAGTTAGTCCTGTCTTTGTTCAGTCTCCCATATATACTCTCCCTGTGCAGTTCCTCAGTGCTGGTTCCTCGTCTTTTCCTGGCTCCTCATGTATGTTTTCCCTGATGTCACCAAGGTTCTGTTTTTTTCTGTACTTTTTATGTTAAATTTTTTGGATTCCTGCCTCAGTTGCCTTTGAGTACTTTCATTAAATCTACAAAACTCACCTCTGCATTTGGGGCCTCAAAACGTCAACCCAACCATGACAAGTATCATATATTTTTTTCTTACAGAACTGAAATCCCTAATCATGATGCTACCACTACCATGTTTCCAGAGATGGGAAGTAACGAAGGACAAATACTTCGTTACTGTACTCAAGTAGATTTTTCTGATATTTTTACTTTACTTTACTACTTATTTTTATGGAGACTTTTTACTTCTACTCCTTACATTTTTACACAAATATCTGTACTTTCTACTCCTTACATTTTAAAATATTGGCTCGTTACTTTAGTTTTGAATCATTTCAATGGAGTTACCGTTATTATTTTTCATGTCATCAATACCAAATTCAGTCTAATTGGATGGAAATCTACGTTGCATTTGACGCACAACTACAAGATGAATCGACAGATTCGGCGGTATTCATTCGCAGCAAATCATTGCAGCTTGGTGGCGGTGGCGTTAGCATAGTAGTATGGACGACGAGATGATTGAAAATGAACACAACGGAGATCTAGTCCTATTGGCAGACATCCATTTAAAATGTAGGCAACGGCATGAAAAAAGTGGTTTCTACTTTTATTTTTATACTTTAAGTAAATTTACAAGCCTGTACTTTGTTACTTTTACTTGAGTAAAGAAGTTTAATCAGTACTTCCACTTTTACCAGAGTATTTTTTGACACAAGTATCTGTACTTTTACTCAAGTACGGAAAGTGAGTACTTTTGCCATCTCTGCATGTTTCACTGTGAAAACCTTGTGTTGACATTAATGAGCGCCATCTACCACTGATCTACCAAGCAGAGGGGTATGCTGGAAGGTCAAAGAGTTCCTTTTTCTGCTCCTTTTTTAACCCGCTAACCTCCCCCCCCCTGTTGTAAACTTTAAATGTGACTTTTATTTTTTCAGAATTAAGGCCTCTGAATACAAATTCTTTTTTACAATTTATAAAATGTGATCAATGAATTGTTTTTACCATCATGCAAATCTTTGTCAGTCTGTCTTAGATATTCTCTATGTTTGTGGTTCTGCACGGACTAATTGTGACAAAGTTCAAAGAGTGTGAGTTTACCATAAAATAGGATGCATCTCTTCTTTCTAGTTTTGTTTTCCAGCCAACCGTGGCCCCAAACTCAGAGATGTTTTCACATTTGTTGATCACGGAGTTCTCAGCTTTATTCCATGTCAGAGAGGAATTTAATTATCACTTTCATTATAAAGTTGACTTTTTTC